TATTAATTAAATATCAGATAAATAATATCTAAATCCCTTGATAATTTTTTTTTAAAGGTATATTAGAAGTTGGAATTCAACAACCACATTCAATAGCTCAACCTCTAAGCTTAACAACCTATAAAGAAGGAGGCTCATAAACTTTATTGAGAAGCTAGCAACCTCCTCACCCATATTTCTTACCTTCACTTATTATGTTACTTCACTTATTATGTTACCTTGTTATAAATTTGACCGTCAAGCATCGTCAAAGGATTAGGTTATCGTTAAAAAAAAAATACAGGGATTTACTTCGTGAAAATACAAGGATAGGTTAAGTTTTCATTAATTCAAGTATTTTTACAAAGTAGGAGAGCTAAGGTATTGACTTAGAGGTGCTATTAATAATTTATAAAGGGAAGCATATTAAAAATATTTTATAATAAACTTGCTTTAATTACGCCTTATAACATCGAAATATTCTTAAAAAAAAAATGAGTCGGTGCTAGAGTCCCAGTTGAATCCTGTAAGGGTATTTAGGGAAAGTACATTGACAATAGCGAGGGGACTATGAAATTCTGGTAAGCTATCCTGCGCAGCTGCGCCTCTGTCCCTCTCCAGGCCTGGGGGGTGGGGGCTGGCTCATCATGTGACTGAAAAACTAGCAACAAAGGCCTGGGAAGTAGAAAGTTAAAAATGAAGCCAGAGAAGCTGGTACAATTTCGAAGGCTTCCATATAAGAGTCAGCGAAAAGTTTTATTTGGGTAAGAAGTGTTGACAGAGTTTGGGATTTTCCCAAAAATGGCACCCCATTATTAAACACTGGTATTTGCAAGGAATTACTGGTTTTCATCGCAAAAACAGGACATGGATATAGCCAGGGGTCAATAGAGCGTCTAGCATTGGCATCATTGCCAATATCATCAATCATACGCTGAATATTTTATAAATGGGACATTACTATACGAGACTGAATAGTTTTTTGGCACCATTTGCTTCAATTTTATTCCTATGGGACAGGTATTGCTGGTTGCGAAGGTTATGGCATGTGGTTTTCATTGGAAATCAATTCGAAATTTGTTCTCTGAGCTTGAAAAGTTGGCGATAGTAGTTGAGCATTGTCAGATTGAGTGTTTCCAAATGTTATGCAGAGTGGAACAGAGAATTTATTTCCATTGATTGCTATACATGAGGTGTGTGTTGTCATGTCAAGGTACATAAAGAGAATGTGTGGATGCGATGTATGCAATGCGACTGTGGATGGTGTTTTTGGCAATGGAAGCAGAGGCCCAGAGGCTATAATGACTCTGGCAGGAGCATTGAATAGGCATGTAATGACTCGTCTTCGTACAAGATGATAATGCGGTTAAAGCAGTGTCTCGAGCAAATGTTATTTTCTGATCGGAAAATCTTGCACAAAGAGATCTTACTACTACAGCCACCACCCATGAACGTCAACTGCGGTCCGATTCTCCTTTCGTGAAAGAGGTTGATGAACGTGCTATGCTTTGTCTTTAGAAATTAGTGCCTCTGCCCTCCTCCTAGCCCAGAACCTTAAAAAATTGGTTGATATAATTTTAAGTGGTGCAGTTAGATTTTGAGTTTGTGTTCTTGCTTTCAATCTTGTAAATTTTATTATTATTAAAAATTTATATATTTATTAATTTAAAAATTTATAAAATTAATTAAGATATTTACAAGTTAATTTTGATATTTACATTAATAAAAAAATAATTCAGGATGTTTTGATTTTTCATAGTTGAGTGTTATAAATTTTAAAATTATTAAAAGTTTATATAATTATTAATTTTAGGATTCATATAATAGATACACAAATTAATTTAAACACTTATATTAATAATAAAAAAAAATGTTTGACGGATGAATTATCTCCATTTGGCTTTAAGTTATGAGTGGATGGCCTGTTTCGAATTTGACCATGAAGGAATGTGGATTCGAACATGCTGCTTGAGATCAGCATGCTATGAGATGCTTATGATGACCTTCAAGTTTCCCAGAAAATCAATTTAACCCTTATTTCTAAGTCTGTTTCTGCAGCGATCCCTTAATAATTATCACCAGATCTTCCATAAATTTCAAAATATTTTCATGGTATCCCTTAAACCCGTAATATTTCTAACTTGACCGCCCAATGATCCAGTCCATGCTCAGCCACCAATGCTATGAATGTAAGATTAAGAAAAATATTACAACTCAGTGCAGAATTTCCTGTTTCGATGATTAGGAAGGAGTTCTTTCAGGTATCATAATTTTAATTAGAGTGTTTCTTGGTCCCGCGTCTTCATATTATATCATGATCACAGATTTGCCATTAATGGGGAGAGCAATGATCAATAATTCAGGAGACAAGGTGAAATTCGTTTTGATTATGGAAACATTGATATGATGTGAAAACGAGAGTCTAGGAACATGATTCGGGGCTGAGAAAAGATTCGGTGAAGACATTCGAGCCTAAGCTCGTTTCATGTGTCGATGTCCCATAGGCCTTAGCTAGCACCTTCACATGTTAAAACTTAAAAGCGCTTGGTCTAGTAGTGGAAGGAGCTTGTCTTTTTTTACTGTCATGTGTTCGAGTTCTGGCCTGCACGTCTGTCATTCTCATAGTACTTTACATGTCTACTGAGTTTGCATGTGTTCGAGTTCTGGCCTGCACGCCTGTCATCCTCGTGGTGCCTTACATATCTACTGAGTTTGCAGGGTATTCAGTGGGCCGTGAGGATTAGTTGTGGTGCGTGCAAACTGACCCGAACACCCCACGTAATAAAAAAAACTTGGAATAGTTTGATATTATTATTTTATTTAAAAATATATTAAGATTATATACCTGGAATAGTTTGATATTATTGTTTTATTTAAAAATATATTAAGATTATATTTATTTTAAAAAAAATCCATACCAACATATTAAAACAATAAAAAAATTTACAAATAATAATTTGAAATTATAAAAAATTAAAAATATTTAAAAACACGGTTAGATTGATATAATTTATTTGAAAATAATACACATTTAACAAGAACAGAAATCGAGATAGTTATTGAGAAACTATTTAGCACCATCAAAAATCAACTTTGATCTTTAAAATAAATTTCAAAATTTGTAGGTTCGTTCCCTACTTTTTACTACCATACGTTTAAAAAACATGCATTGAATTGCATAGCTAAATTCTTTCAAACTTACCTATTTCCACCGAACACGCATGCATGTGTAATTAATGAATGTGTATGGTAAGATTATTAGTGTTTCTGAATAAAATGTATATATACAAAAAAGAAAAGAATAAACCTATATTTGAAATATTTTATTTTAAATGTAATTTTAAAACAGAAATGATAAAAAACTTATTTATTTATTTCATCTCAAGATAATAATTAAATATTACATAATTGTGCTAAAACACAATTCAAATCATGATTTAAAAAAACTATTTTTTAATATATCTTTAAATAAACAATACTTTAAAATACAATCACTATTATATTTAAAAACACCCACAAGATAAGAACTAAAAATTGCGTTAGCAGAAAGAAAGTGAGAAAATGGGCCAGCAACATGGTAAATACGCGGTATTTCATAATTAAACAAGATATAAACTTCTACACCACAGTCTTCCTTGTTGAAAAAACGACGACGGTAATCATTAATTAGAAGATTAACCAGAAAGGATAAGTAAGTAATCATGAAGCAAAGAAATTGTGGGAGTACAATATTTCACCCAAGAAAGAAAGAATGTACGTATACCGTATAAACCTCCCCGTATATCGTTATATTCCAACCGTAGTCGGCAGAGACATTAAATACGCTTTGACCCTCAACCAAAAAAAACCATTGAAAACTAAGCATTGATTTGTTTTGCATAATAAAATATTTGGCTTGAAATTTTTTTTGATACAATAATTTTTTAATGATGATAATAGAGGAGGAATTAGGTACTGAGAGATCGTGGTGATTATAGTATTACCGACTGTGAGATGATGATGGGTCAAGAAGGTAATGAAATAGCTGTGGTGATAAAAAAAATAATTTATTGAAATAGTTAAATATATTTTAAAGAGATTATTATTTATAAAATTTTATAAGTTAAAATTATTTTTCAATAAATGAAATTTTTGTGATGGTGATAAAAAAAATAATAGTTAAAATAGTTAAATGATATTAGAAAAAGATTATTATTCATAAAATATTTTATAAAATTTTATGAGCTAAAATTATTTATTCAACAAATAAACTAAATTTTAAAATTATAAATAAAATATTTTTTATTAATTAGTTTTTCTTTGAAATATTTTAAGAGAAACAAACATAAAAAAAATCTATAAAACATTTTCTTATAAAAATATTATATACAAAACAAACATCCCCTAAACCAGAAAACACTGTTATTTGTCAATAAGGGTGTTTAGTCAAGTTCTTATGGGGCTCCAGAAATGACATTTGTCTTCACACCCCCACGTTCTCTTATCAGTTTCAGCTATAAATATACCTTCCCCTTCTTCAAACCATCCCCACCATTACTAACCTCGGCCTTGGTTTTGGTCCCTTTGAAGCTAACTAGCTGAAAGGCTTGATATATAGAAGTATGGAAGAATCTGTTAAGCTCAGGAGGGATAGCGCCCTAAGGATAACCATGGGCTCTTGTTATTTGGTTTTTGACTATCAGTGGCGCTATCCATCCTGAGTTTTACTGGTTCTTCTTGCTACGATCAGCTCCTGGCTCCTCCTTGTTGCTTCAGGATTAAAGTGCCATTCCTTCTCTTTGAGAAGGTGATTTGTGTGCGGTATGATTCATTAGTGCTTTGATGTTTATATATTTCTTGTTGATGTTTCTTTTTGTAGTTTCCGTGGTTAATTAGCGAGGGAAAATTCCTATGCTCATATATATATATATATATATATATATATTGTTTCTGTTCAAAGGGCCATTATGAGCTATGTGCTCATGCCTGGAAACCATCATAGCGTACCTTCGTTCAGAAATACGCCATTGATGAAGGTAAAATGGTTGATGCATACTCACTATTTTTGCACATATGTTGATAATGTTTTACATTTATCTACTCATTATACCTCTGCTTATGCAGCTCTATTACACTGTTTTGGTTCCCTCTTGGCACTCTGATCATGGTTATGGAGGGAGCTAAACTTCTGCTTTACATATAAATGATGAAAGTGATTGTGATGGTGATGATTATAATACCTACAAAAAAAAACCTCTAAAATAATCAGTTTACAATAATAATTATAATACAAAAACAAAATAATGCAGGGCTAGGTTATCCATTTGTCAATTTTGGGACTTGGGATGATGAACTTAGCGACTTTGTCTTCTTCCCATCTTCGTTCAAGTCACGGTTCCTAGCTAGTCTTTTAGCGTTTTCTACCTTACATTACACCAGTTATCTAAAACTTTAAGGCGAGGGTTTGTGCAATTAATATCTGCACTCATTTCCAGCTTTAACTCTGATATTTTACCCTCTTTTCAGGTTGCTGTGTTTCCACGCTTCCTCCATTGTTTCCACTAAAATATCTCAAGTGGCCATTTTAGATTTGTTTTCTAGATCACAGCAGAATCTTTTCAGATTTTAACGTGTTCATGGAATTTACAGTGAAATAATTATCCAGTATATGTTGCCATATATCTCAGCATAGTATGAGGAGGTCCCAGGTTTGATGCAGCTTCTTGTGTTCCTTAATTTGGTTAACAGACAAAGGTATTGCCTTTACTAAAATCCCTTTTCACTGGCCATCAAAATTAAAATTTCCGACCATGGAGAAGCTTCAACATCTCGTATTTGATTCATATTTTTATATACATTATTCATAATCTTGAGACCATTCTTGAATTTCGTTATCTCGTCCGGGAAAAAAACATATCAAGGCCAATGACTTGGATTTCTCCTAAAGCAGTCTAGATTTTTTTGCAAGTCTGAATATATCATGCCCTCATAATTATTGAAAGTTTGAATGTGAATTTGGATTTTTTTTCATGCCCTCATAATTATTGAAATATCATGAAAGTTAAAAGTTTGAATGTGAATTTGGATTTTTTTTAATTAATTAACATTTTAGATTTATTTAAATAAGATACATGTAGCTCTAATAAAAATAGGTTTGATAAGTTAATTAGACAACTCACTGACTCGAAAGATAAATAATTTTACTTGAAAGATAAATGATTTTAACATCGTGTCAATGAAAAAAACAACTTTATTATAAGTTTTTATTTTTTTACATAAAATTTAGATTAACTTGAATTAACTTATTCAATCTTTTATCCTTTATGATTATTGTTCGTGTTAATTTCTGGATGGAATTTCTGTATTAATAAGACATCCAGAAGTTAACAATTTGAGGAACTTTCCTTGCAGATATAAAGGAAATGATATCTTAGACATTTGGAAAGACATGCTTAAGTTAGGTGATGAGCAGGTTGAGGACTAGTTTTGTAGCTATATCAGTGGTTCCATGCGAATCTACCACATAATTTTGCTCAAACCCAGGCAATGTGTGCTAGGAGCATTTCTTGTTCTAGTTATCTAAGAACAAGTATTAGGTATTCATCAATTCTAACGTTTGTACTTGGTTGAACTTATCTTCATCTTGTGAATAATCGCAGGTTGCCACCACATTGGGATTGTGACTTGCGTGTCAATGGCCACAAGAAGTTCGCGAAGCTTAATGGAGATAAGCCAGCAAAGACAAGAGAGGAGACGACATCATTTGTAGTGGCCGGAATTCATGGAGGAGGGTTACCGACATTTCACCAGTCCTTTACCTTTTCTACACTTGTACGAGGACAAATTTTAACCCCTTCTTTTCGTATCTGGAATGCCTTTTTGCATATGTAATCAGAGAGGTTTTCCCTTCTTTTTTTGTTTTTTTTTTTTTATAAGGTTGTCATGTAATGTTTGGATATTCACAATGATAGAATTCTCCTTTTGATTCGAGCAGGTGTTTACTTTGTATACAATGTATAGCTATAAAACCCGCCGCACCGATGAGTTGATTCATAACTTGAATTATATTGATTTAATAAGTTGATTATATATTTATAATTTGAATTATGTCCGTTTAAGAAAATAAATAAAAAAGAGAAATATAATTGACTGTTTAAAAACTAAATTGATTTGCTTTCAAAATCTATCTTTAATTTTTTAAATTAAATTAAAATTATTTTAATTTTCTTATTATTATTATTTTTTAAAAGTCTATCCTCTTTATCCATGGCTAGACCTTATTTCATGTGGGGTTGTTTTTTACAGCTAATATAGTAAGGAATAAAGCTCCAATACAAAGAGAAAGGTGTCAAGATTTGATAGATCTGGAGCCCATAGGATGAGCCTAAAAGCTAATGTCCAAACTGCTGAAGCTGTAATACGCTCAAACCCAATAAGACATCTCATAAGCCTTTTTTGATAGCACCATATTATGTGTCACAGCTTAATAAAACAAGTTCAAAAAAGCAACCACAATAATAATAATAATAATAATAATAACAAAATAATTAATTAATTAAAAAAAATAAGTTAAAAATATATAAATTTTATTTTTTTAATACATGTTAGTTAACTAAATATTTTTAAATTTTTGATTAAGATAAAACACATATCACACTATACTACAACATAGAAATAAATGGAATCTGAATAGTAAATAAAACAAACAAATACTAAGGAATTTGTTTTACAGCTAATATTGTACACATTACCTAAATCGTTATGTTTAATCCACGTACCATCAGCCTACTTATCATAAATGACAATTATTTTTCATGATTTAATTGACAAAAGTAACCTTATTGTTACACTACGTTTAGATAAATGAATGAATGAATAAATATCTCACTATTCTCATAGATAAAGCGATTATCAGACATTCCTACTATTTAGTGTAATAGAAAAATTGTTAGGTAATCTTTTGGTGGTTAAAAATATTTATTTTCTCCAATTAGCTTTTAACTTTGAAATATAGTTACCGACTTAAAAAGAGATTGGGTAACAAATCAACCCATGAATTTTCCAAACAACCCGAATTAATTATTTTTATTTACATAATATTATTTCATTATTTTTTATAAAAATATTGTTGTTCATTTAAATCGTTGCTCATCTAAATCTAACCAATTAAACTAGATTTAATTAATTAATTCAATTAAATTTTATCATGTTAATACCTGATTTAGTTTAACTAAAATTTTAATATAAATTTAGTTTTGAATTAATTCAGAAAACTGAACTAAATTTAATAATTATGTTTAGAATTTCTAAAACTAGTGCATTTATTCATTAAAAATATCATATTTTTTATATCATTAAAAAAATAAGTCTCGATTTACATATAATATAACTTAAGGATAATTTTATCATCGATCAAAAGTAAAAACTCCCGCTTATATTGCGTAGTAGCAATTTGAACTAGGAGGCCCAAACGAGATTATGGAGTCTAGAAATTCTATATTGGGCCGCTCAATTTTGAAGACCCGAATTATTCGGCCCATGTAATACACTGAAGAGCCTATTAGGCCCATGTAATTCACTAAACGAAGATATTTTTTTTTCTTTTTCAAGAGGCGCGCAATCTATCTGTTAATGGAAGCCATAAACAAACTTCTGGCTTCCAGCCTCTCTTCTTCTAGATTTTCACTTTCCTTTCCAGCCAAAATTCAAAACACACGCACAGAGAGAGAGAGAGAGAGAGAGAATTCAAACAAAATGGCCACAGTAGCTCTCTCACTCAAGCTTCTAAGCATACACAATTTCCACACAAATCCTTCCTTTATTTCTCAAAAAAGAAACGAAAATATATCCGCTCCTTTAAAAACCACCGTCCCTAGATCATCACCTCCTCAAAACAGCACCGCAACCACCAACACCACCACGACGAAGACGAAGAAAACGACGTCGCTTGATAACAACACCCCTAACGAATCGAAACTAAAACCGACTTCCGTTGACAGCAAACCTTCAACTTCCACGTCATCTCTAACCGATTCGGTTGCTAATCTGTTTACTCGTCTCAGGTGCATTAACTACTGGTAACAAGTAGAAACGGTTAAATTTGTTGATTAGGTTTTAATTATAATCTTTAAAGCGATTAATTACTTTTTTTGGCTTATAATTGTGTAGAGATGGAGTTAAAATTGACGAGGTTGGAGTGGAGATTTTATCAATTGCATTGCCGGCTGCTTTGGCCCTTGCTGCTGATCCTATTGCCTCACTTGTTGATACTGCTTATGTTGGTCATATCGGTATTTATACATATTTTTTTTCTCATTTTTAATTAGTTTTAATTAATTAAGAATTTATTTTTGTTGATTAGATTTGTTAAATAATTGCAGGATCGGTTGAATTGGCGGCGGTTGGAGTGTCAATTTCAATATTTAATTTGGTTTCCAAGTTGTTTAATGTTCCTTTGCTTAATATTACTACTTCCTTTGTCGCTGAAGAGCAAGCATTGATTAGCAAAAGTAACGATAGTAATTTAATTAGCTTTTATTTATTTACTTATTTATTTTATCCAAGAAAATTTTTTATTTTTATTTTTTGATGTTTAGACTCGGTGAAGGATCAGGAAGGGAAGCAAGTTCTTCCTTCAGTTTCGACTTCTTTAGTGCTTGCTGCTGCTGTTGGTGTTGCAGAAACGGTGGCTCTCTCAGTTGGCTCGGGATTCTTGATGAATATCATGGGTATACCTGTTGTACGTCAAATTTAGTTATGAATTTTTTATTTTCTTTTAACATTTTTACTTGTGAAATTAATTTAGATTTCTTGCATCAGTTGCTCTCTTGGATAGAGAATTTATGTTTTTTTTGGGATTGGTAATGTCAGTGATCAGTCACCTAAATGTCAATGCTGCATATGATCACGATGAGAAAGTCGTCTAAACATCAATGCTGCATATGATCACCATGAGAAATTGAAATTCAAGTCATTTTAATTATATTGCTTTGATATAGTTATATCCATGGTGAAACTGGAGTCTAATACTTACTAATTTTTTTGTTTGTGAGATTTTGACAATTTGGGTTAATTTGCTGACCTTCTAATTGTACATTACATATGAATTTTGTTTGACATAATGGATTGGACTTCTTTCAAGTTAGGTGTAACATGACCTACATGTTAGGAATATCCAGATCATTGTTTTGAATTTCGATGGCTAGGATTTCATATCATCCAACTAGTGGGCGGTTGGGATTTTTTTTAAAAAAAATTGGTAGTTAAATTTTTTTTCTGTAAGGAAATCTAAACTATTGAAATTCAAATCAATGGTTCAGATTCACCTAACATGATGTATCATGTTGCCCCTAATTTAAGAGGAATCCAATCCTGTGATATTGGCTTCTATCTTGCATTTTGGCTCTTAATGATTGCCTGTTAGAATGTTAATATGGCAAGCTTGTACTGATGATCTTCATCAAGTAATCTGTCAAGTTACTTGGATATACTGTAAATTTGAGGGTACATTACTGTAAAATGAATTTTAAATATTATAATATTGATACAGGGTTATGGTTCAAAAAGTCTTTTGAGATTTTTATCATGTCACAGGATTCACCAATGCGAGTGCCAGCTGAGCAGTTTCTTACCTTGAGGGCCTTTGGTGCTCCACCCATTGTAATTTCACTTGCAGCACAAGGCACATTTCGAGGATTTATGGATACAAAGACACCCTTATATGCCATTGGCAAGTATTGCAGCACTGTTTTCCTCTTCCTTTCCTTGTTTTCTGTACATGTATAAAATATATCTGTAAGTCTATTCCTTTTAGACACCTTTTTTAATCCATGAATGGTTTTCACTTTGCTTCCCACCCCCCCAACCCCCCCCTTTAGCAATCCATTAGAGTTCACAGGGACAGAAAGTATATAGATGGATTTTCCTTTATTAAGTGCACCAGGTGAAGAGGATGTTTTAAGTCAATAGTCGAATATAGTAGTTGATACACCTTTATTAGTTATCAAGGAAATTGCAACAAGTCAGTAAAATGTATTTGCAATAAACATTTATGCATGTACATATGTTTGGTTGATGATTTAAGCAAAAGATGGCCTCATATTCAGCACCAATATCAGCAACATGGTCTCATATGCTCTGAAAATATGTCTACCATTTCAGGCTACTTCTAATTGCTTGATTTTGTTGTAAACCACACTTGTGATAAATTTGTATTTTGACTATCAGGTGTCGGCAACTTACTGAATGCAATATTGGACGCAATATTCATTGTTGTATTTGGTTTCGGTGTTGGTGGTGCTGCAGTTGCTACAGTGATTTCTGAGTATGTTAATAATGTGGTAAACTATATAATATCAGTGTCCTTTGCACATGATATTATTGTGTTTTTTTTTTAAATGGAACCGATTCACTATTCTCTCCTTTAAATGTACCTTTGTCCCTTTTTCTACAGATATCTCATCGCTTTCATCCTTCTCTGGGAGTTGAATGACAAGGTGCAGCTAATCTCTCCAAACATTGATGCAACAGAAATTGTCCGCTATCTGAATTCTGGTATGTTTCTTACCAGCTTCGTTACATCTATTTTCATTTTAATTTGATGTCATTAAGAAAATTCTATCATAGAGTAAACTCAAATGGCTGGTGATTTAGTTGCATGAAAAACTTTTCAGCATAACATGCAGAGTGGGCGACTGATGGGCGATGGCCAATCAGCATAGAGGGTAGTAGATGCACCTTTTATAATTTCATAAAATTTGGAAGGACAAATTGTTGTTCATTATAAAAACTACTAGCATCTCCTTTGAATTTACATCTTAACCCACTACTGGAAACATACTTTCACTTTTTAGTAAATAGTTAAGGCAGCATGATGACCTTGTCTGGTGTAGTGGTAAAGGTCCTGGACACTACTAAAGCACATTCTTGAATCTTGTGACCGTAGAAGCTTCAAATTATCCTTCTTATGGTCCTAGTTCATTTCAAATCATTCTTCTTATGGTCCTAGTTCATTTTGACCATTAACTTGCTTGAGTCTTGTGATTATAGA